TATAGGGTCTTGTATTTTTGGTATTGGGAGTCTCTTAGAAGTTTGAAATGTGAAATTTGTTTGTGGATCATATATTACATTCAAGTAAAACTTACAGTATAGACTTAGTGGAAGCTGAAAGTTTGCATCTCTAAGACTTTTGATGGATTGGTAGTTATTGTTTCAGTTATGAAAGTTTGATGCCTGCTTTCATGTTGGAAAGGATTCCATGTCCTGTCTCTTTAGTCAAGAGTTTAATTGCATAAAGTTGGACCTTTTCTGTTCATAGGATGTGGTTGTGTGTGTTGAGATGGAGGTTATATCTTCTAGTTTTAAGAACTGGATTTGATAAAGTTCAATTTTCATGTGCCTACAAGATCGGATACTGATTAAGGTAATCTAAACAAATATACACATACAAATTAATGTAGATTTATATGGGTTTGGCGCTTTGGGAATATGAAAAAGCTTATACCTTGATTTGGATCGAGTACAATGTTTGATTTCTGAGATTTTGAATCAACTGTTTGATTGACATTGACCCATAAATGGCAATACGTACAGAGAGGGGTGAAGTTGATGGTTACATTTGTCTCTTCATGACCTATAATTTTCGTTGTACTGATATTTAAGTGTATGTTGACTGCTGATATTTCCATTTAGGTGCCGAGTAGTTATACCTTGACTAGGTCAGGTCGGATGCAAAAGCCCAATGCTAATAAATATCTAACTTTGTAGAGAACCAAATGTAATTTACCATTAAAAAGATTCATTTATTTTGTTTGTATTGAGATGTTCCTGTTAAGTCATTTTTCTTTGAGATTACAGGATGGTGTATTGGAGTGGCAATAAGGTGTTTGTTTGTACCGAAAGTAAGGCATTAATTCTTATAATCTCATCTGCTCCCTATAACGTATCCAACACCCAATGACGAAGGTCTGCTTATAACCATCAACTATAACTTTATGTGTTATTTTTTGAACTTTTTCCCTCTAAACATGTGCTTCCGAAAGTGATATTGATATGAAAAATGCAGTTTTTCTTTAACATCCATTAAGATATATCTAAGGTATATTAATTCTAGTTTCAATTCTTCATCATCTATGTTACCTTTGTGCTTCTATTAGGAAGCCGTACTCGTACCTGCCATGGACCCATACGCAAACCTCTTGGACACTTCTTGAACATATGCATATGTTTATTCAGACATATACTCAACTATATAATACATGTTTTAATTTAAAACACTCCAAATACACTTCTTAGATGTATATTCTACAATTCACATCTATTTCTTATACGTTGATCTTATGTAAATTATTACTTTTAATACATATAAATATACATAACACACACACACACACTAGGTTTTATGCACGTGCAATGCACGTGGTTAAATATCATGATTAAATATTTTTAATTTATTTCCTTACTAAAATTTGTTCATCAATTTCACTTTGATCGTTTTTGCTCACTTATGTCTTTAAATTTTAGTATTGTGATTTTTTTTTGATGTTTGTTAGAATGGGCTACAACAAATTTAAATTTTTATGTTGATAATTAAATTTGCAGAAAATAAATGTAATCTAAAGCAAATTTGAATTTTCACGTGATTTGGACCGACATGAAACCAATTTTGAAAGTATAATGTTGTAACAATGAAAAACACTCAAAAAAAGTAGGGTTATAAAAGAAAGATGAATAATTAAACCTAAAAAGCCAAGATGATTAATTAAAAGTCGGCTAGAATGAAACTAAAGAGAATATGAAGTTTGTTGCTAATTAATTAATAGACTTTAGAAAAAATCATAAACTAAAGATTAATGTTAAATCTAGTATATTTTATATGATAAAAGCATCCACATAATCATATAAAAATATTTAAAAGAGTTTATGAAAATCCTTTCTAAAGATTCCTGGTTTTACTCAAAAAATTGAGCTATTCTATAAAATATTCGGAATCTTTTATTCTTTCTATTTTATTTTTTTATTGAGTTAAGATCAATCTTTCTCCACCTTTATCTTTTTCCTAAGCAATTCTAAAGTTATGCCTTCATCGTCTATATTGATTGAGACATCGGTCTGAAGCTGGATTTCTTGTGCTATTATTTTACCCTGAGCTCATTCATGTTTTGTCTTCTCGTCTTACTTCGCAAAGAAGTTGAATGCATTTTTGATGTTCAACAGAAATTCTAGAAATACAGACTTTGATTATTTTTGTGTTTCAATGAGACTAAATGTTATTTTCATATATATGAATTTTTTGTGTTTCTAATTTATTTTTAAATAAGGTTAGGAGTTTACTCTTTTTTCTCTGCAATGAATTCTTCTTGTGTGCATTCAATAAGAGTTTCTGTTGCGTTAAATACTGTTACTTTTACTCTATCTGTGTTATTTTTCACAAGGATCTGAACTAAATAACTGTATTTTTCATTATCAAATTGCCTTAGATTATAATGTTAATATTTAAACTTGATATGTTTATTTCATGAAGAAGGAATATCACTCAACCTTGGTATTACCTCATTAGTGATTCTGTGATTTATTATTTGGACATTCTTATTAACATCTCTATCCAACCTTCTTGTTGTAGCTTTTGCAAGCTAGAACCACTGCTCAACTTTATTGTAAATGGTAGTTATCTTTACATTATATGTCCAATAGCGTGTTCGTATATTAAAAGAGTATTTTTAAGTTTAATTGTGTAAATTTTAGAGTTGGTCTTATAAGATCATACATCTTTAATATTGTGATGATTGCATATATCAATAGTTTAAATTTGTATTGTATTTATAAAGAGCCTTGATAGATATGCTTCTATTTTAGTAGCTTGTTCTGAATATGCCATGCATATTAGCTTTAAAGTGTAATTTTTTTTTCTTTATTGTGTTATATGGATATCTGCTTGGTTTACTTACCATTCTTTTATTTCTTCAATAAGTTGTATCTTTGTGTTGGTATATATCGTTAATACAATTTACTATAACATGCATATTTTTCCTACAAATTTAAGACAGATATAATATAAATTTTATGTTTAGTGACCTTTTATAAGAATTTTAGTAGTAAAATATGCTACCTTCATATTTAAAGATCTTGAAACGAGACAGTGTTATTATGTGCTTATTTTTGATCATGTCTTTAAAAACTCATCCTTTACTGGTAGTTATATCCCCAAATAAATTTACTTGCAGAGTCATACCACCATATAGGAAAAAGAAAAATATTAATTTTACAACTTTTTTTACTTACATTATTGTAACTAATTATCATGTGTATATCTTTTGTTCATTATAGTGATTTCCCTCATCTTATCTGGCTTGATATATCTTGCAACATAGTTGATCAATGACTTGACTTTAGTTTCTATTGTAAGATTATTTATATGTAATTTTATATTAATTTTATGATTTCTTTAGTATTTCAAGAATAAAGTATAAAAATTTATAAATATTTACTAATTTTTCTTATATCTTTCACGGAGGATGCTTTTTTTAATTAGCACCAAATTAAGGAACTCCTCTGTGCTCTTTGCTAGATATACCTTTTGTTAATATCAGTTCAAGTGATTCATGAATATTTTTAAAATTTAGGCTTATTTACTTCACTCCTCTATTTGAATAAAAACAACTTGATTTTTTTTAAAATGATAGCTCTAAACTTTCCGATAGTTTCTCCATACAAAATTCCTCGTATTTTTTACTCTATAAATATTATTAATATTAGAGATGAATGTTTATACATTATAATCAATTACTACTAACTTATTATATTATAGTTTTTTGTTAGTTTTATGTAATTTAGTCTTCTATTCATTAATGTTATTACTAAAATTATATGTAGTTCCTTAAATTTGTACAGTAACGTTAATTTTTAATTTGTTATATATTTTTTAAATTTTTATTCCTTAACTAGATAGTTTTAATCTATCGTAATTGTTAGTTTTTACTAGTGTCCACTTAGACTTCCTTTAGATGCTGAAAATGGATGATAAACTTTAAATTGAAATTTAAATTTATATATCTTAATGAAAGGATATCAAACATTTACTCTTTTCTTTACCAAATTTTAGCTTTTTTGTGATTTTAAACTTTTGAGGGTGTGTTTTGTAAAATTTTTAAACTTTAATAGTATTTTTTGAAAATTTTAAATTTTATGTTAGGTACTTGTAATTTTTATATTTTATGAGTGGTGGTAAGTTTTTAAATGTTAAGATGTTTCTTTCAACCCTAAAATTTTGAGCGTGTTTTTTGCAATTACTAAAACTTGGAGTTGTTTTTTGACAAATTCAAATTTTCAGCGATCTGCTGATAATTTTAGATTTTATGTCTACAGGTTACAAGTTTTGAAATATCAGGATTTTTGTAATTTTTAACTTTTGAGGGAGTTTTTGTAATTTATGTAACTTTGAGGTTATTTTTTACAAATTTTAAATTTTCAAGTGCATAATAGTAATCCCTAGAATCTATCTATGTTATTTGCAAGTTTTGAAATCTCTAATTTTGGCTGTTTTTTTTCTAGTTTGAACTTTTGAGGTTGTTTCTGCAATTTTAGAAATATTGAGGGTGTTAATTGCAAATTTTAAATTCCTTGGGGGCTGTTTTTAATGTTTAGATTTTCATGTTTGTTGTTTTAAGTTTTGAAAAGTCAGGGTGTTTTGGGTAATTTTGAACTTTTAAAGATATTTTGTGTAATTTTATAATTAAATCTTAATCTTATTTTTTTTAAATTGCTGATGTATAGGTAGTTCGTGTGGGATTAATGTAGGATATAATTAGTATTTAGATAGATTAAGATTTAAATAAAAAATTTAAAATAATACTTCATGTAGTTTGTTAATTTTTTTTAATTGTTGAGCTATCGATAATTCCGTGAGATTAGATAAGATGTAATTAGAATTAGAATAGATTAGGATTTAAATGAAATATTCAAAATAGTGAAGGTTAATATTGATCATAGAAAGATTTTCCTGAACTCATGCTTTTAAAGGGAGAGAGAGAGAGAGAGTGTGTATCCGTGTCCCCGTCTCTACCCTTTACAAATTTGTCGTGTCTTGTACCAACACCCGTACCATACCCATGCAACCTAGTTCATCGTATGCCAAGCTTTTTCTCTTATTAAAATGGCTGAGGGACATGATGTTTGTTCAAGAAGGTTCCACTTTTGCTATAAAGGATTGCCCAAGCTTCTATGGGAGTTTGTTTATTTCTGTGGGCCTTGAAGTTCCTAGCATGAGCAGCCTGAGACAATTATGGTTATTTTGAGTAGGGATCTTACATAAACTAATAAGCTGTTTTTTTATGGTCCAAACTTACATCGGCAATTGCGGATAGACTCCCTGTAATATCCACTAATCATGGATAGACTCCCAATAATTCAATTGTTGTGAATAGACTCCCTATACTACCGCCCAATTGCAGATAGACCCCCTGCATTAAATGTTTAGACTTTCTTATTCTTAGGAGGTTTATTTGTCAAAAATAGTTTTTCCTTTCTCTGAGGCTAAAAGAGCCAAAGTTCACTCAAGGGGTCTTTCTAAAACAATAAATCTATAGTGGGTCTATCCACTATCCACAATTGGGCGATAGTACTGGGGTTCTTTCCACAAACGACCCGTTGATAAATTTATTGTTTTTTGCAGATTTGTTTGAAAAATTATCTTTAATACGAGTAATTAAGCTATTAACAGCTCATGAATAGTTTCTAAATTTTCTTTTACAACTACATGCATAGGACCTTCAAAAGTCACTTGCAGGTCAAGCTTGTCTTCATTTCCATCCACTCAGACATTCTCAACTCCATCGACTTTGACGGTACCTTCTTATAGTGAAAGGAGTGGGCCTGAGGTTCTTCCTACACCGAGAACTGAAGGAGAAATTCTATCATCCTCGAATTTGAAAGACTTCACGTTCAGTGAACTGAAAAGTGCCACTAGAAATTTCAGGCCAGATAGCCTTTTGGGTGAAGGAGGATTTGGATATGTTTATAAAGGTTGGATTGACAAGCAAAGTTTCGCTCCTTCCAGGCCTGGGTCAGGGATGGTTGTTGCTATCAAGAAGCTCAAACCAGAAGGTTTTCAGGGTCATAAGGAGTGGCTGGTACTCCTTGATTTCTCTCTTAAATGTCTTATATCTTTGGGTTAATTGCAGATAGACCCCCTGTAGTTCTATTGTTGCAGGTAGAACCCCTGTATTATGGCCTAATTACAGATAAACCCCTCAAGTGATGTTCACCGACTTATAAAATTGTTTTTTTGACATGAAGGAGTCAAAAAAGTTCTGCTCAGGGGTCTATTTGCAACAATTGAAACACAAGGGATTTGTCTGCAATTGTGTTATAGTAGTGGGGGGGGGGGGGTCTCCCCAATTTAACCATATATCTTTGGTGGTCGTTTGTGATATCTAGTTTTTAAGTAACATTGTATTCTTTTGGTTATAAATTGTTGCAGACAGAGGTTGAGTATCTTGGTCAACTTCACCATCCGAATTTGGTTAAGCTCATCGGGTACTGTTCAGATGGTGACAGCCGTCTTTTGGTTTATGAGTTCATGCCAAAAGGAAGTTTGGAGAATCATCTATTTAGAAGTGAGTAATATGTACTTGGTTTCTTTTTCTTTGTCAAAATCATTGATTTCTTTAAGCATTATGAGAAATCAAGCATTATGAGGCACTAGCTACGAATGGAGTAATGTCTGTTAGTGAGTGTGGAGAACTACCTCAGTTCTCTTGCAATTTGTGTATGTTCTTCAATCCCGATAGATTCCGTAGTCTATGAAAGAGACTATTCAAGAGGGAAGATGGAAATGCTTTCTTTAAGGAATACACTCATTCTGTTTATTAAAAGAATAATATCTGAAGTTAACATTGTTGGTTTCTAGGAAGTTCACAGCCACTTTCTTGGGCGATACGGATCAAAGTAGCAGTTGGAGCTGCTAGAGGATTTGTGTTTTTGCATGACAGGGAATCCCAAGTCATTTTTCGAGATGTGAAGGCCTCAAACATTCTCCTGGACTCGGTATTGATACTACTGCCTTTTTGGTTTATATAATGGTGTTTTTTTTTCCAATTTTCCATTTTTGATTTTTTTTAATTTTATTTATTTCGATATAGGATTTTAGTCCGAAGCTTTCAGATTTTGGCTTGGCAAAAGCTGGCCCGACAGGGGATAATACTCATGTCTCCACACAAGTCATGGGAACTCATGGATACGCTGCTCCAGAGTATGTAGCAACAGGTTGGTAAATTGTTGGTCTATGAGGTCAAATTTTAGTTCACGTGAGAGTAGAACTGTATTATTGTTTTTATAACCCAAAATTTTGCTCCTATCATCTTTGTTGTTTTTGGGCCTATTGACCATGCTCGGAAATCCTAGATTGCACATTAGATCTTCAAAATTCTTCTGAATTCTATTTTCCCTTTGCCTTTAACCAGTCAGGAGCCTAGCTCTGAGAACCCTTTGGTTTTTTTATATAGTCACAGGTACAGGGTTGTTAAAGCCTTTGTTGTGCGCGGCGGAAGCTTCGCCGCCTCGAACAATAACTCGAGATAAATCACAACCACTAAGCAAATCACAATCACAGCAAGAACAAACTATTTACGTGGTTCGGCAAGTTGCCTACGTCCACGGGGCAAGGAGGGGGGAAGTTCTTACTATTAGAAATCAAGATAATACAAATAGAGTTACAAATCTCACCGATCAAACCCTAAAACAAAGCTCTAGATCTCTCACAAATCTCCCACAATTGGATGCAACAATTCTTTCCAAAAGACTGCTCAAAAAACGTCCTTGCTTAACCCTAACTAATTCTAATTAGAGTTATATATCAGCTTTCAAACGAACCGGGTCAAAAACCAAGCCCAGCCCAAAAAACAACTCGCGGCCGACCGCGGCGGTCGACCGTGCAGGTATCGCGGTCGACCGTGACGGTCGACCGAACTAAATGACATAGAACAAATATCCTACAGGAAACTCACGGTCGACTGAACCTCATCCCGAGAGTTAAATCTCTTACAGGGTTTGCGCGGTCGACCGTCACGGCCGACCGCCTTCAGATCCGAATCCTACTGCCCTCCTGTGCACGTTCGCGGTCGACCGTCGCTGACTCGCGGTCGACCGCCAGTCTGCCTGGCCGATTCTCCTGAACTTCCTGCTGCTTCTCTCGCCACTTCTTCAGCCTTTTTTTATAAGAAAGAGAAAAGTGGGGTTCAGGAACCATTTAGATAGATGTTGGTTACATACTTTATATTTAAATAGTTATTTATTTTTAATTAAAATGGTGATGGTGTTTGGATATAGTAAAATCGTATAGAAAAAGTCAATCATGCAACGCATAATAGAACTAGTGTCATTCCTTACAAATTACACATTAAGTAATAGAGTTACACAAGTAAATCATTTTTGTTGTGAAATATTTGTTATTTACTTACACGTGAATGAATCAATCTCTGAATAGGCTGACTGTTGAAGACTAATTCAAGAGAATCATTGAAGAAATTCTTACAAGTAATTTTAGAATCTTTTTACAATTCAAGAGTATGTGATCAGTGATGAAATTATTTGTTCTAATGCTTGCAATCACTTTTCAGGCCGTCTCTCTGCTAAAGCTGATGTCTACAGCTTCGGTGTCGTGCTTCTGGAACTACTCTCTGGACGTCGAGCTCTCGACAAGAACAAGATTGGCATAGAACAGAACCTTGTAGATTGGGCTAGACCTTTTCTTGGAGACAAGAGAAAGCTATACAAGATCATGGACTCGAGATTAGGGGGCCAATACCCTAAAAAAGCAGCCTTTACTATCGCCACTCTTGCATTAAGATGCATAAGCAATGAAGCCAGACTCAGACCTAAGATGTCTGAGGTCTTAGCCACACTCGAGCCACTCTTAGACTCAAAAGAAACCATTAAGCAAAATGCAAAAGGGAGGGAGAAAGGTTTCGGATCCAGGCCTAAGGTCACCAAGACGGGTCACGAGTAACGGGTCTCCTTTGACATCCCATCGAAAGTCGCCCAGAGGTCGCTAGATGATGTTTCATTGTAAATGTGATGGCGTTTAGGTGATTAAATTTTGGAATTTCTTTTTAGTCGTGAGGAGATGAATTAATGTGTGAAGCATTGTTCTAATGATGCATTTCGGGGAAATGTATTGATGGATTCAGGTGGAATCAGTTCAGTTCCACGTTTTCTGGCAATTTTTTGTCTCTCTGAATTGGTCAATTTGCTTCTGAGACGTCCATGTTTCTGTTTCTAATGTTGCTCAATTCAGTCAAGAGTTCTTTGGTCATTGGTTGTGCAAGGTATATGATTAATTTAGAGTTGAAGTTTGTTAATTTAAGAAAATTGTGATGTTTTGGTTTTCAGAAAACTTTGCTCGGCATGACAAAAAATTATCTTGTGGACCAGGTTTATCGAGCATTTGTGTTCGAGGGATGCAGAATTATGAAATCAGTGAGAAACAGGAGGGATTTAAAGACATATATTGATCTACAGGTTCTCTTTTTCCCTAATAACGTTAGAAAAATCATTGAAAGTCTACTTTCAAAACCCTTAATTATTTGCAAAATATATTGGAAACAAGAGGTGATCATATTGTCAAAGAAAATTGTACAATGATATCTGCTATTTTTGGTGCACTGTCAGCAGATTCAGGAAGCTTCAACAGCTATACTACAACATAATTTGCTTGATGCATTGCAGTGTACTCGATAAATGACAGAAAGAACATAAACATCAAGCCTTTCAATAGTGCAACAAAGCATCATATGCACTTAAAAGCATCAAATTATAAGGATGATGGCGAAGAATTAAAAGGTTTTTACACATAGAGTTCAGGTCAGAAACTCAATAATTAACTACTTCATTTGGCAGTAGGTTATGTACATC